TATTTTTTAATGTGGTATTTATAAGATGTGCTTTTCATGGTTTATGATGCAGGCCTTGATGATGATGACGATGATGATGGCGTTGCTGAGGTTGATGTCAGACAGACACGTCCACCCGCAGTCGGCGACCACCAGCTCCTGAGGGTGGATGGACACTTGATCATGTCATGGCATCCATAAATGATCTGACTACTGACTTTAGAGGATATAGACAGAGCACGAGCAAGTGGCGGAACCAGATGGACACAAGGGTTGCACGGTTGGACACAAGGGTTACACGCTTGGAGGGTTTAGTTGGCGAGGGTGCCATACTCAGGAGGATGACAATGGGGACGACACACAATCGGATGATGAGAATGGGGATGACACGCAATCGGATTAGTGTGTCCATAGGGTTTCATATCATTGATTTAGTTGGCAAGGGTGACCATTTTGGATGTAATGTAGTCATTTTGGTACATTTAGGAACTTTACCTACATTGCATAGATCTTTTTGTACTGGATGTTCAATATTTGAATGAATGAAATTTTCGTTTTGCGCATGTTCAGACTTGTTGGTTCTATGCATTAATATTGTCATATGTAATTTGGAAAACAATTCAACCCAAAGTACTTTAATATGGATGTTCAACATTGATTGGCGCACATCATGATTCCGGCATCCTATTTCTACGAAATCAATCCACCCCCAAGTCATATTGTATGTAGGTATTACACAACAATTCAAAAAATGCTAAAAAAATGGCCAAAACACAAGCTGCAACTGCATTAACAACTGGTCTACCCGGGTACCACGAACTGGTGTACCCGGGTAGGTTGTACTCGGGTATATCATTACGAGTTACCCGGGTAGACCAGTTGATTATGCAGCAGCAGCTGCTGTTCAATCCATTTTTTTTGCATCTTTTGAATTGATGTGTAATACAATAACCTTAACTGACTCGGGGAAGAGGTAAATGGGTATGGTAGACATTTGCACAATACGGAACGAGTGACTCGCTAAACTTAACGGATGTCAACATTTACGTTATGCAACACAAGAATACAGTTCAACAATACATTTCAACAACACAATACATAACTAATACAAGATAAAGTTTAGGGTACAAGGAAACAAAACAATACGTAAAGTGATTGTCATTACAAAACAAAGTACTACACAGAAACAATACGTAATCATGCTTGTCTTAGTCTCAATGGACATGTACGAATGTTATGTCCAACTTGCTTGCAAAGCTTACATCTGCTCTGACTGCTCGAGGGTTGAGACTCAACCCAATCCATCTCATTCTGAATCCTTGAAGACTGTGGTCTTCCTTTTGCACGTACCAACCGGGCATCCGGAATTACAGTAGGCCCAACAACGGATGGAATCAACAATTCATTGCCAATAGGAAACCAGTGTGCAGCATATACTTTAGCAATGGTTGGGATTTTGAAAACATGATCCACATAATCATAATGGTTTAACTTGGCTACCTTGCAAACTGCTAATACATGACTGCAGGGATACCTCCTTGCTGTAAACCTACCACACTGACATGTACGATTGATTAAGTCCACTCTCATGGTGTCACCAACCTCGTGTGTAGATTGATTGTAGGCATCCTCAACCTCAAACAATAACAGCTCACTATCATATATCCTCACACGATAAGTGCCGGCCAATTCATCATTTTTTTGCAAAGCTGCCTCAACCTTCTTTGAAATTATCCAACCTTGTGAGATATCTTTTTCAATCCCTTCACGTCTCTTGACGAAATACTCAACGAGTCTACTGAATGTCATCTTGACCAATGCAGTTATAGGCAGATTACGTGCTCCACGAAGCACCTTATTCACACACTCAGATAGGTTGGTTGTCATATGACCAAACCTACGTCCTGTCTCATCATACGACCTGCACCATTGCTCTTTCGGAATCGCATCCAACCATGAAGCAACTTCAGGATTGTTCTCGATAAATTCCTTATATCTAATGTCGAAATTTATCTTTGAACATGTGTACCCTGCAAAACAACCATGACATATGCAATTGGTTAGTGAATTTCATCAATGTTTTCTTCAAATGGTTGAAAATGTGAGTAATTATATCGTACATTACCTAATTTCATCAACGTTTTCTTCAATTCCACATTCCTAAAACGGGTATTGAAGTTGCTTCCGATGTGACGTAGACAAAATACATGATAAGCATATGGAGGCTGCCACCCTCTGTGATCTTTCACCGCCCTTATGATGCTTCGATGACGATCGGATATTAGACAAATACCATGCCTATGTGTAACATGAAAACGTAAAAGGCTAAGAAACCAAGACCAATCATCCAACCTCTCACCTGGAGGAACAACAGCAAAGGCAATAGGGAGCAGAAATCCATCTTCATCCTGAGATGTTGCAATCAAGAGAGTACCTCTGTACTTCCCATACAGATGAGTGCCGTCAATTTGAATTATAGGCTTGCAGTATTTGAATGCTTCAATGCATTGGTGAAATGTCCAAAAAACCCTGTGAAATACGGCCCTGTCTGTATAAACCCGACGTTCATCAAAACATTGATTTGTATCAAGTTTGAACACAGAACCCACATTCACTTGCGTCATATACGTCAGCCAATTTGGCAAGAATCCATACGATTTCTCCCACTCACCATACAGCTTAACAATGGCCTTCATTTTTGCCTTCCAGGCCTTCCTGTACGATATGTTGTATCCATATATTCCCTGTATTCTCTCTTGAATCAGAGCGGGTTTTGTAGATGGATCTTCCTTTAACATATCTGTAAAAAAAAAAAAACACAACTTTACCATATTCTCAATAAGAATTTCCACTAAGTAGACAGTAGAATACATACTCATTATAGTCGCACAAATAAAATCTGAATCCAACTGTCTATGATCCTGTGACAGGCCCTGGTTCAGGCATATGTGATCTTCACCCCATTTACGAACCACCCAATTAGCTCCCTTCTTCGGCTTGATTGCCCTCAGGTACCAGGGACAACCGTCACCATGGTTTTTACACTTCATAACAAATCTTGACTCGTCGCTTTTTTCGACTATGGTTGTCCTACGCCCCTTCATACAATGTATCTTCACAGCATGTTGCAATTCTGGTTTGGACCCAAATTCTTGTTGCACAAATAACGGATCTCCTAACTTCCAACCTCCGTGCAAGTCATCATCGCCATATAGGATCTCCAGCTCGTCATTAGGGTGCGCCCAGTTAATGAATGAATAATGTTGGCTTTCATTCCAGAATGGCTCCACCTCAGTCCCAGCATCTAAAGATCAACTCTCATTTGTCTGAATGAATACCACCACAAATAATAAATTGTCTAAAACAAATGTTCAAATTTAATAACTTACCACTACTGACTGGGTCGACATGAAGTGGTGACAAGGCTGGGGTACCCAGACATACGGCGCTCGTGTCAGCCTCAAAATTTCCCTCCACGTCAGTGTCTGACGAATCACCTTCTGGAATAGCACTTCCAGGTTCTCCCTCATCTTCGCTGTCCACATAGTCCTCGTCTTCATCCTCTTCATCCTCATCCAATGCTACCTGAGGAGGTGCAGAAGATCGTACAACTGTATCTTCTTGACCGGTACAATGTGCAGTAGTGGTTGTATGCACCGGTAAAGATGAAGATTGACCAGCATCAACTTCAACATATATCTCAATATATTTTAATACTTTCCATTCAACAAACGCATCTGTTACGAACTCCACATCTTCATCATCATTTATATCGTTACCAATGTAGTATATTGTATCCATATCCACTACAGTCTCTAACCTGGCCATCATGCGGTGGATGGAATGGATGCCTTCTGACCCCATTTTTTGAAGAATTCTCTCCTTCAGTTCATTGCATGTAGTGCCCACTTTGATTTTCATCGTTTTTGTTTTTCCTTCAAATCGGACACCGTTCGGACCTTCAAAATGCCTCCCATTGTAGTAAATAACTATAGGAACCATGTTTGGACTTGAACTCATCTTTCACACAAAAATTAGATCTAGGTTTTGGGTTTGGAGGTTGGTTCGGATTTTTGAGCACAAAATGGGAGTGTGGAGATGTAATCTCAATGTCCCACCAAGATTAGGCTTTCTGAAATGATGAGATGAAATATGTGTGATGTTTCGGATTAGAGAGGGTAAGGGAGAGAGATTTGGGGTTTCAAAAACCCTATACCTCGCAACAATGGCCTAAACCCATAGATATTGGGGTTTCTGGACGCGATTTACCCGGGTACACTCCTTCCTACCCGGGTAAATAATTCAACCGTTTTCCCAGATTCAAGAACTCTACCCGGGTAGCAAAAAAATTTCAAAAAATACCCGGGTAGGTAAGGGTGTACCCGGGTAGACTTCGTGGTCAACGGTCAAACAGGGTCAGATTGGTGTTATGTTTTTGAGGGGGGTTAAATTTTCGAAATAGTTTTAAATGAAGGGCAATTTGGTAATTAATTATTAATTAAGGGTCAAAAAGCCCATATTATATTATTTGTTAATTAGATGTCAAATTAGTTAGTTTATCTTTACATGCAAGAACAAGGTGTAATCGGCTACAAGAAAGCCCATAGATCACAAGGAAAGTAATTAATCAATTATAACTTCCTTTCAATTATTCTCTCAATCTCTTCTCTCTCTCTCTCTCTCTGAGTCAAACTCTTTCTTCCTTCTCCTCACAGCCAGAAATTCACTTAACAAATGCATCATGCCTAAATTCATCCCCATTAAATTTACACACACAGTGGGATTCCAATTTCTTTGTTTCTAAGAAACGAAGTATATCGCGGCTCATTCAAACAAGTTGAACCCGTTTTCTGAAATGTCAAGGTATTAGACCTAACCCAAAGCCACAATAGGCATGACAATCTGGATGCACTTAAAAAGATAATGTTTAGCACTATGAGTTGCCTGATAGTGTGATCAATCTAGACTATTAAGATTCACCATGACAGAATTAAAAATCAAAACTATTATTCTTGATACACTCAGGAAAGGAAGAAAAAAAAATTTAAAAACTTTCTAACATACATGAACATGCAGCAAAGCAAACAATCCTCACCATCAAACTTGTCGTTCTGAGCAGCCACAATCGGCGAGCCCTCAAGCTGTCACCAATTGTTAAACAAAGAAATCAGAACAAGCAAGTAAAATAATAGAAAGAAATCGAAAGTAAAAAAATCCAAAAAGAGGGACACACACACACCTTGCACGACAACAACTTGATGCAACACCCATCAGGTTGCTCTTCAACCTTAACCAGCAAAACTGGACAAACTTCAAAGGCAAAGAACTTAATCGTGTACACATAACACCTGAAAGTGTTGTCGTTTACACGCTCAATCCTCTCCGCGTCCAACACAGAATACTGACTTGCCGGTAACCGCATGTATTCAACTTCATAAATCAAAAATATTATGAATCAAACAAAATTACCTATTTCAAATTACAAACTAATAAAAGCGCAAATCCAAACTCTCCAATTTGCGACGATAGAGGCAAGGATCAATTGTATTTCCTTATATTTTTGCAAGGTGGCTATTATCATATTCAAATTTCAAATATGTGATATAAAATTTCTACCCCTCAACTCTAAACAAAATACGTGTTATTATTAAATTTTAATTGTTGATTTCTGTCGATCTAATCACCATAATTTATTAAAATTAATAATTAATTAATAGGTATAACTCAATAAATTATAACAAAATCAATTATTAAAATTTTATAAGAAAAAAATAGCAACTATAAGCTCTCTCTCGTAATTTACATTTCGGTCACAAGAAACAAACTTATCAGAGCTCTAAGACTCGGCCTCAAATTATAAATTCAAGTAAAAAAAATATAAAAAGAAAAGAAAGAAACTATCAATCTTTCTAACATTACTTAGGGGACGTTCGAGTTGCCGAACCGAAATCGACTCCTTACGCCGAGCAACGAACCGAGCTTTCTGGCTCGGACTTGCCGAAGCACGAAGCGAAGGGCGGAGAGATTCTAGAGCACATTGAGAACACAATGATTTCCTCGGAAACGAAATGGGTATGGAACGAACCAATGAAGAAGCCATCGGGTTCCAAAGGATAGCTATAGCTCTAGTGTCTTACACTAAAACAAGACCGCGAGGGAAGATGTGGTCACAAAACACGCCCATGAGTGAGTTATGTGACAACAACTTGCCTTTTTTTGTCCAAATAAGACAATCACGTAAATGGTAAAAAAAAATCAACCTTGAAGCAAAAGGCTGATTAGAAAAAATTAATAAACAATTAAAATATAATAAAATGTTATATTATATGTTTTGTATGATTAAAAAAAATTTAAAGAATAAAAAATTACTCTAATATAGGATTAAAGTTTAAAACACCCCACGGTTGTTGTTAAGACTTACGGTGGCATTTAATGCTTCTGAAAGTTAACATCTAATCAATCGTTTTAAACAGCGAAGTAATAATGGTGTTTTAACCATGATACGCGCAACACGATTTAAAGCGCCAAAAATTGACGAAGGCACACCGCGCAATAGTATGCATTTATATATCTCACAAAGGGTTAAAACCCAAAGATCAAGGCCCAAACACATAGGGCCCATGAAATGCGTGATATCTTCATCGCGCATAAAGGATCCAGGGGCGCAATGGCCTCATCGCGCCTAAATTGCCTAAGACATGACTTAAGAATTAAGGAAGAAGTCCATAACATAGCAGGAAACCACCGCGCCATAAGCCAATACACAAAAGACAGCTCCAGCTTGCCACCACTCTACAATGGCAGCTTGACATATAGAGGTATAGCCAGAAAGGCACCAGCTGAGAACAGATAAACCTGCAGCCCCTAAACAGCCAATCAGAGGACATACCGCCTACCAAATGCGGCATCAGACTTACTATATAAACAAAGGGTACACACCCAGGTAGGCTTTTTGACCACTATAGCCTTTTTTTAATAATTAATTATCAAATTAACCCTATTTATAAACTATTTCAAAAATTTAACCTCTTCAGAAAATATAACACCAATTTGCCCATGTTTGACCGTTGACCATGAAGCCTACCCGGGTACACCCCTCTCTACCCGAGTAATTTTCGAAATTTTTTACCTACCCGGGTACACCCCTCCCTATCCGGGTATATTTCTTGAATCTGGAAAAAAGTTTGAATTATTTACCCGGGTAGGTAGGGGTGTACCCGGGTAAATAATCATACAGAAAATGAAATACAACATCTCAGAAATTCAACTGTACACTCTTAGAAATTAATGCCAAAATGTACAAAGCTGCATCATAAGCTCATATAATACACTAAATAAGATCACAAAAAGGAAGTGAAGCATACAGAAAACATCTTCTCAGTAACGACTTTCCTTAATAACTTTTTGTCACCATTAGCTATTAGAGTATTTATCTGGAGAAAAGGAAAAGAAACTTCAGCATTGGCATTTCTCAAATTGTCCTAACTGAGAAAACTTCAAGGCAGTTTTCTCAAATTTATTCTCCTCGATGGTATAGCTCCCAAGTAACTATATCACTCTGAATTGGCCTTTCTTCAATGTCTTACTTCTTTCCAACAATACACCTCTCCAAATCTATTAAATGATATCAATCTTGCATCTATGTTCTGTCAAAGGAACTCCATGCAGCAAATCCTGGTACTCACAAGGCACGGCAGAGGTGCAGAGCCAAAAAATAGATTAAGTATATTTGATTCATGTACACCATGGTAGAGTTGCAAATGGCAGAATGAGTCATAAGACAGAACATCATGGTGTTATTTGATTCATGTACCTGATTCTAACTAGTGGGTAAGGCTTTTGTTTTTGTTGTTTGTTGTTGGGAGAATGAGTAAAAGAAATAAAACCTTAGTAAAGGCTGCAAAAATGTAAAATACTGTCAGAAAGTCTTCATTTTCCCTTGTTGTTTGTTTTTTTTGTTTGTTGTTGGGAGAATGATTATTTACCCGGGTACACCCCTACTTACCCGGGTAAATAATTCAAACTTTTTTCCAGTTCAAGAAATATACCCGGGTAAGGAGGGGTGTACCCGGGTAGGCTTCATGGTCAACGGTCAAATATGGGCAGATTGGTGTTATGTTTTCTGAAGAGGTTAAATTTTTGAAATAGTTTATAAATAAGGTTAATTTGGTAATTAATTATTAAAAAAAGGCTATAGTGGTCAAAAAGCCCACCCAGGTACAATAATCTATTTTCCAGTAAGAATACCTCATAAGCCTAACTTTGATACTGACTTGAGCGTCGAAGTGTCATTGCAGGTACCCCCAGCCAGAGTTATCGCGCCAAGGAGAATCTACATCAATCCACCACATAGCAGCCATCATCAACCCGAGAAGTATATAATCCAACTTGAAGCCTTCACTCTTCAACCGTGTGTGATTAGGCCCAAAACATATTGGCCTGCTCATATTGTATTGGATTGATCAAATATAAATATAAAATATTATTTATTTGAGAATCTTGAAGATGATTGTTGAATTTTACATTAGAACATATAATTATAATATAATAAGTTCATATAATATATTAATATTGATTATGGTGACTATACTTTTAATATTATGGTACATAAATACTTCTTATATTATATAATATAATTATTGATTAATGTTGGTTATACAATTAAGTAATATTATGACAGCCTATATAATATCATTACGCTGGCTATGAAACATTGGTACCATATATATAATGTTACAACTCTGATATATATTTTGATAAATTATTGTATAGACGTACACATGATTTAAATTATTGTACCAAATTGATTTTTGGGAAGTAATTTGAAATGATGATTTTGATGTGACACTAACCCAATTAGTGACGGGATTAATTGGCTATGTAATAGGGTACACTCTACTTTGGCTTAGAGTTAGACCACAAATTCGCCTCTCATAATCATAGCTCTCCCTAGTCTAGACAATTAGTAAGGTTCAATGTTAAGATTACTTCGATTTATTTAACAATTACCTGTGGATATATTTTATGTCATTTATTTACTTATTAGAAGGAGATATTTTTCATATAGACACAACTGAAAATATTATAATTCGAAAACCTTCAAGATTATTGAGAATATTTTTCACATGTGTATTATTGAGAATAGTTCTCTGCATATATTTTTTCTGTTGTCTAATGTAACACCTTGTTCATGATCGGGTTGTTATAATTTTATACAGCATTAAACGCAGTTACAATCATAGCAGTTGAATTAAAATACGACTAAACTTTTTCTTTACTGTCAACAATTGCTTTTTTGGTTAAAAAATCTTTCCATATTTCAAACAATTCAAAAATGTAATTATAACTCATTCATTATGTGGAATACTTAAATCTTTCTTAAATGTATCGTACATATAGCATATGTCATAACCATACAGTCCCCATAAACATGCATGGTCAAACCATACAGTCCCCCGCTTGAGTGAGCATCATCAGCGAGCAATTAAAAACTTAGGCAGTAACACGGGTTTATTTATGTCTCCTCGCTAAGTTCGTCGCTTCAGCGAGCTAGCTAGCAAGCAGATCGTATTTCCTCACTTTCCTGCTCGCCGAAGCGAGCACATTAGCGAGCAAATTCAAAATCTGAGCAGTAACTATTGCCATCCCCTGATTCTCCTCTAAGCATGCAACATTTTAATTTGGACAGTGGCTAACAAGGCTAGTAACTGCTCGCTTGAGCGAGCATGTGCACGAGCAATGTCCTTTCTAGACAGTGGTTACTGTCTTCATTCTATATTTGCTCGCTAGAGCGAGCAAGTCAGCAAGCAGCTCTGTACCCAAAATGGTCCCCTTGGTTTTTTGGACAAATTCTCGGGAAAACTTGCATTGTTTTAGTACATGATTTAAGCTAGAATGACAACCATATGCCCAACAAACATAGGTGGACTTACATCCTTATACATATACATTTCTTGAATTGCAAGTTGTTGCTCAATTTCTTTCTTGGATATCAAGTCATCTTTCTATCTTATTCTAATACACATTTGACACTTATCTTTCTTCTCATTTCTTGCATATAATCTCTCATACATGCATCAACATTATAAGTTAATCATTTATCTGTCTCAATATACATATTCTTATCTCATGAAAACATACCCATCAATAACATCAGATGTGTATATCATTATGCCGCATAGTTATTACAACTTTGTAACTCATAGCTTTACAAAACATATGATCAAAATCCTTTACACAAATATACATCTGAAAATGTGATACAAGATAATAATGATCATATCCTAAGTTCCTATATACATATTCTAATATGCTTTTCAAAATAGAATTGCAAGTATATTTACAGCAAAAGTAATCCAAAATAAGCAGCATGCTATGAACTAAAATCTTGGTGGGCCTCTTGCCCTGAGATGCCCCCTCTCTATCAGTGGAGGTACCTGAAAGGTGGATCCTCACAACACGGGGTGAAATAAAAATATCAGTAAATTAAGGGTCCTTGGAGGATCACTCCACCTGTAGTTCACTTTCAGTGCATTAATAATATCAAATTAAAGCATGCATTCGTAATCTATTCTGTGATGAAACTTCCAAGAGAGTTTCACTCTATAACACCTCGTAGATTTAAAACACATAATTATGGTTAAAATAAGGAATTAAAAATAAGATTAGTGAAAATCTTGAGTTATGGGTCAAAATACGTAAAAAGAGTAAAACGGGAATGTAACAAATACGTAACCCTAATAAGTAAAATGATAGTATAAGGTCTCAAATGGAAAAACTAACCCTGAAAATGGATTTAGAACAAAAAATTAAATGGTTAGGAAATTTTCTGAACATTTGATAAATAGTATTTTTACCAGATGAAAATACAGTGGTACAGTTGCACCGAAAAATGTGTCGAGTGAAATTTGTGCTCTAGATTTGAATATAAGTTGGAAAAGGTACATAGGACCAAGAAATATGATTATTGATGAAATTTGATGGATTATATGGCTTTTGGGGAAATGTGCCAACGGTGCACGAATCAGGCTAAAACAGTGATTTCACCGAATTACCGGAAAACTCTGGATTCATCTGTTCAAACATAATTAAAGGACTCTGGTGAATGTTAAAAGTTTTATTTAATGGATAGTTCTTGAATTCATTGAAGATTAGTGGTGAGATTAAGTGAG